CATTTTGATATGCTTATTTAGTTTGGGAAGCGAAAATTAAGTAAGGAAGCTGAAAGTTGCAGAGTGAACAAAAACCTGCCCGAGAGCTGAAGGGAATTGGTTTAAGACCCAAAGACGACAACGTGTCAGTGTTTTTATTTTGTTTTTTTATTTCTTTGTTGACGGTAAAATAGCAACGGCATTTTGGTAGGCCGTATGTTCGACATCTGGCGTATTTGGGAATCATCAGCAGTTTCAGAAGGTTAACGTTTAGAACGGGTAGGCAACCTTGGCTCCTTCATGACTCGCGGACTTCAACTCCCAGAATTCCTGAGCCAGCCATGCTGAGGGGAAAGGGAGAGGTTTCCAAGCTGAGCCAGGCTGGCTCAGGAATTCTGGGAGTTGAAGTCCACGAGTCATAAAAGAGCCAAGGTTGCCTACCTCTGTCCTAAGTCCTGCTCTAAGCAGTGAACCTCCTAGACCAGGAGTAGGCAACCTTGGCTCTTTTATGACTCGTGGACTTCAACTCCCAGAATTCCTGAGCCAGCCATGCTGAGGGGAAAGGGAGAGATTTCCAAGCTGAGCCATGCTGGCTCAGGAATTCTGGGAGGTGAAGTCCACGAGTCATGAAGGAGCCATAGTTCCCCCATGCTGGCTCAGGAATTCTGGGAGTTGAAGTCCACGAGTCATAAAAGAGCCAAGGTTGCCTACCCCTGGTTCAGAAGAAGGTTATTTTTTAGTTGAAAACCTTATAGGAAGTCCTTGACTTTCTGATCAGAATTGGGATTAGAATTTCCGTCGCTAAGCAAGGCAGTTGTAAACTGACTCGTGTCCGGTTTTGACATCCTGGCTTGCCACCGTTGTTTAATCCAACCAACACAGCTGTTGAGTGAAACATGGTTGCAAAAACAAATCCGGCTCCTTCCCCCCCTCCCCCCCGAGATGCTATAGGTCCTCTTGCTTGAGCAGGGGGCTGGACTAGAAGACCTCCAAGGTCCCTTCCAGCTCTATCCTATCCTATCCTATCCTATCCTATCCTATCCTATTATCTGAATTTTGATCACATGAGCATGGGGAGCCTGCAAAAGTCATAACTGTGAAAAACAGTCCTAAGACCCTTTTTTTCAGTGCCGTTGTAACTACGAATAGTCACTAAACGAACTCCCGTAAGCCAAGGACTAACTGTATTCTCTTCCTTCAGACAGCATCAGACGTGGCAATGTTATATATCTGGTAGTTTTCATTTAGTGAGCATTCAAAGTTAACAATAGGACTGAAAAAAGTGACTTATGACTGTTTTTCACACTTACGACCTTTGCAGCATCCTCACGGTCACGTGATCAAAATTCAGACGATTGGCAACTGACTCGTATTTATGACCGTTGCTGTGACCCAAGGTCATGTGATCCCCTTTTGGGACCTGTCCCAGCCTACGTGAGTCCTTGTTAAGCTCACAAGGAGAAACCCCTCTTCTAGGGGCTGGAACCGCAGGAAAAAAACAATCCCCTTTTATTATTCACAGACCTGAGTCCATGTCCAAGGCAAACAAAACACAGTTCATAGAAACTCAATTCCTCAACATGAACGGCTGCCTTCGGTCACCAGCACTTCCCACACCTTCCCTTTTATTATGCAGCCAAGGCGTGGCTTCCTAATGCCTTCTCCTTTTCCTTTGGAGCCGACCCATTGCATTCCTCTGTCCTACTCGCTTCTCTTGCCTGCACATTCATGCATCCAAGACTTGTCCCAGCTGTTTCTCATCACCGTCTAACTCAGGCTCCCAGCACAGCTGTGTCTCAGCCTGAGCGCGAGTAGAGGGGCCAGGCTTCTCATCCGACTGTAAGTCTTGGAGCTCCTCAGAGCCTTCCTCTGATTCTGATGTTACTCCAGGCCCCTCTTCCTCCTTCTCTGATCCTCAGACTTAGCTGCCAGGTCCACTGGCTGACGAGGAATCACAACACCTTCCGACAACCAAAGTCAGTGGGGGAAGCCAGATTCAGTTAACAACCGGGCGATGTCTCGCTTAAGAACAGAAATTTTGGCCTGGATTGTGGTGCTAAGTCCAGGACTATCTGTATTTCTTTTTAAATGGTACATAAAAATGTGTCTTTTCCTTTGAATTCAGCTTTGACTTCTGGATGCTTCTTGTACATATCTAGGTGACTTTCTTTGGTATAAAATAAAATAGTTTTGCCATCAGTTTCAAGGAGAGAAACAACCTAGAACTAAGGAGAAACTTCCTGAAAGTGAGAACAATTAATCAGTGGAACAGCTTGCCTCCAGAAGCAGTAAATGCTCCAACACTGGAAGTTTTTAAGAAGAGACTGGACAGCCATTTGTCCGAAATGGTTTAGGGTTTCCTGCCCGAGCAGGGGGTTGGACTAGATGACCTCCAAGGTCCCTTCCAACTTTACTACTATTACATCTCTTCCGCATTCTGCTTTCCCTTGACCTGCTGGCTTTTGTTTTTTGTTGTTGTTTTTTTGGTCCTTGGTCCACACCACTTCAGTGTTTCTGAGATTATCAGCTAAGTGCTGATACCTCACATCGCTTTTTAAAAAAATGCCATCCGTTCTTCCTTTCTGCCTGAGTGTGTCTGTTTAACGTTAAGGATGCAAGAGAAGGTTTTTTCCAACTCTGAGGTTGTTTTTCTTGTAGGAGTGCACTGTTCTCAGGATCGCTGAAACTCCACGAGGTGGGATCTTGCATGGAGCCCCAGAGCGAGGGAGATTGAGTTATTTTGTGTTTCTTCCATTTGCAAATAACCGCACCAACTGTTGTCAACATTTTCACCAAGCTGCTTGTAGATAGTCTTGTAACCCATTCTAGCATTGTGTAGGTCTACAATCTTGTCCCTGACATCCTGGGACAGCTCTTTGGTCTTGGCCATGATGGGGAGTTTGGAATCTGATTAATTGCTTCTGTGGACAGGTGTCTTTTATACAGGTAACAAGCTGAAATTAGGAGCACTCCCTTTAAGAGAGTGCTACTAATCTCAGTTCGTTACCTGTATAAAAGACACCTGGGAGCCAGAAATCTTGCTGATTGATAGGGGATAAAATACTTATTTCACTCATTAAAATGCAAATCAATATGCGGACGGTTGTTAAAATAGCATTTGGGCTTTTACAGGAAGAATTACAGGAGTATGGCTGGAGGTTGGCATGTCCCTAAAAGGGTTCTGAGCATTAATCTGTAATCGAGCTTGACTCTGTGGCTCCTGTCAAGGTTGACCTTTCTTTATTTGTCCCAGAGGTGCTTTTTTCAATGAGGCAATTGGACTTTCTTGTTTTTCTTTGAAGATGTTTTGCTTCCCATTCGAGAAGCTTCTTCGGCTCTGACTGGAGGGTGTGGAATCGAAGGATTTATACTCCTTGCAGACAGCTGGTCATTGGCCTTCCTTTAGAGAGTCGCTGAGGCCACTTGCATGGCACAACGTAGGACAGGGGTCTTCAAACCTGGTCCTTTTATGACTTGTGGACTTCAACTCCCAGAATTCCTCAGCCAGCCTCCATTTTGTTTGTTAGATTTACGACAGGGGTCTTCAAACTTGGCCCTTTTATGACTTGTGGACTTCAGCTCCCAGAATTCCTCAGCCAGCCTCCATTTTGTTTGTTAGATTTACGACAGGGGTCTTCAAACCTGGCCCTTTTATGACTTGTGGACTTCAACTCCCAGAATTCCTCAGCCAGCCTCCATTTTGTTTGTCAGATTTAGGACAGGGCTCTTCAAACTTGACCCTTTTATGATTTGTGTTGAAGTCCACAAGTCGTAAAAGGGCCGAGTTTGAAGACCCCTGACATAGGAGAACAGACTCATCAGGATAAGATTCAGCAGTCCATCTGCATTTAAAAGATAAAGGCCACGCTTTTGAAGACAGCAAAGTCCACATTTTGGACAGAGAGGACCACTGGTTTGAAAGAGGGGTCAAAGAAGCCATCTGTGTCAAAACTGAACAGCCCTCTCTCAACAGAGGGCGAGGGATATGACACCATCTACCTCCAGTCTACCACACGGTCCTTTCAGCAGTTCCATGAAGGCTCCACACCCATTTGCACCACTCAGGTGACCCTGAGGACACAGATAAACCTCCAAGTGGCCTCAACGACTCTCTCAAAGGATGCAAATGACCAGCTGTCTGCGAGGAATATAAATCCTTCCAAACCTCACCATCTAGTCAGAGCTGAAGAAGGTTCTTGGATGAGAAGAAAAACGTCTTCAGAGAAGAGTGAAGGTGGCGCAGCAGTTAGAGTGTAGTACTGCAGGCCACTTTAGCTGACTGTGTTCAGCAGGTCAGCGGTTCAAATCTCACCGGCTCAAGGTTGACTCAGCCTTCCATCCTTTCGGGGTAGGTAAAATGAGGACCCAGATTGTTGGGGGCAATATAAATATATATATATATATACATTGCTTACTGGTGTACACCGCTTAGAGAGTGCTTGTACTTAAAGCGGTATATAAGTCTCATAAATAAATAAATAAATACATAAATAAATAAGAGAAGGACAAGGGGGGAACATGATAGCAGTATTCCAATATCTCAGGGGCTGCCATAGAGAAGAGGGAATCAAGCTATTTTCCAAAGTACCTGAAGGCAGGACAAGAAGCAACGGATGGAAACTAACCAAGGAGAGAAGCAACCTAGAACTATAGAGAAACTTCCTGACAGTGAGAACAATTAACCAGTGGAACTACCTGCCTTCAGAAGCGGTGAATGCTCCAACACTGGAAGTTTTTAAGAAGAGATTGGACAGCCATTTGTCCGAAATGGTGTAGGGTTTCCTGCCTGAGCAGGGGGTTGGACTAGATGACCTCCAAGGCCCCTTCCAACTTTACTACTACTACTACTACTACTATTATTATTATTATTATTATTATTATTATTATTATTATTATTATTATTATTATTATTAAAAACAAGAAAATCCACTTGCCTCCTGAAAAAGCACCTTTGGGTCAACCATGACCTGGATAACTGAGAATCTCCATAGACTTTATTTGCTTTTTTTTTTTTTTTACAGTCACACAACTCAACAAGAGACCAACAAAACCGTCACTACGTGCACAAGTGCCATCCGACAGCTGTCCGAGGGTATCAGAAGCTCTTCTAGGGTGAGTTGGTTTTTTTTTTTTTTAAAAAAATAAATTTATAATACAGTTAAAAACAAACAAACATTGGATTTAACGTGACATTCCAGTATATACATTCTTATCAGATTATTCCACTTTTTACAATCAATTCTTCGTCTCTACATATACATCTAAGTTTTATGTACAATACTTGTTCTAAAATAACATATCTTTCTATCTTAACATTCCTCTTTAATCCCAACCGTCCTCTTCAAATTCCTCCAGCAGTAAAATTTATCCCAGGTTTCATAATAAACTGATCCACATTTGTCTTTTAATATCCTTGTGAGCCTGTCCATTTCCGCACATGCTAATGTTTTATGTATTAACTCTTACTCTGTGGGAATTTCCTTGCTCTTCCATTTTTGTGCAAAAGCAAGCCTATCGGCAGTCCGGATGTGTAGCAGCAGGTAGATTGTTCCCTTGTGAGTTTTGAGACTTTCACGTGAAACCTTGAGTGGCTTCAAGAAGGATTCAATGTTGGGTTGGCCTAATGTGCTAAGCTAAGAGTCAACAGCCTGCAGTAGAAGTCTTCAGTCAGGTTTTCAACCATCAGAGAGTTGATAAGATCCTCTCTGATCTTATTTGCTGAAACCTGAAGGCTCATGCAAGACAAGCAGTAATGGGTGGAAGCTTCTCAAAGAGAAATTCTAAGGTGTCTAGTCTAACAAAAAGAAGGACTAGGGGCGATATGATAGCACGCTTCCAACACTTGAGGGGCTATCCCCTGACCATCTTCGTTGCTCTTCTTTGCACTCTTTCTAGAGTCTCCACATCTTTTTTACATCGTGGTGACCAAAACTGGATGCCATATTCCAAGAGTGGCCTTACCAGGGCCTTGTAAAATGGTATTAACATTTCACGTGATCTTGATTCTATCCCTCTGTTGATGCAGCCTAAAATTGTGTTGGCCTTTTTGGCAGCTGCAGCACACGGCTGGCTCCTATTTAAGTGATTGTCCACTAGGACTCCGAGATCCCTCTCACAGTTTACTACAATTGAGCAAGGTACCCCCTAAACTATACCTGCACATTTGGTTTTTCTTGTCTAAATGTAGAACCTTGCTTTTTTCACCACTGAATTTCATTTTGTTAGATAGCGCCCAGTGTTCAAGTCTGTTAAGATCCTTCTGTATCTTAAGCCTGTCTTCTGGAGCTTTGGCTGTTCTTGCCAGCTTGTGGTATATTAGTATATATTATATACTAATATACTACAAGTTGGCAGGAATAGCCAACACTCCAGAAGATAGGCTTAAGATAGTATATATTATATTAGTATATATCAGTGGTTCCCAATCTTTTCTATACCCCGCACCCCTAGAACATTTCTGAGATATTCTCACGCTCCTTACAAAAGTTCAAAATAACATCACTTCATGTGATCTTGATTCTATCCCTCTCTGTTGATGCAGCCTAAAATTGTGTTGCCCTTTTTGGCAGCTGTAGCACACCGCTGGCTCACATTTAAGTGATTGTCCACTAGGACTCCGAGATCCCTCTCAATATAATTGCTCCAGAGAGCACCAAAGATGCCCCATTTCAGTCCTGGGCTACAAATGTTAACCTTTATTGGGAAAAAAAAAAGTATTCTGCTAAGACATTTCCTTGACTTTCCCGTCTGCCTTATAGCCTATTGGTCTCCCATACCCTACTAAGCTTTGTTGTTGTTAATTGCGAAGTCGTGTCCGACCCATCGTGATCCCATGGACAATGTTCCTCCAGGTCTTCCTGTCCTCTACCATCTTCTGGAGTCCATTTAACCTCACACCTACTACTTCAGTGACTCCATCCAGCCATCTCATTCTCTGTCGTCCCCTCCTTCTCTTGCCCTCCATCTTTCCCAGCATTAGGCCCTTCTCCAGGGAGTCCTTCCTTCTCATTAGGTGGCCAAAGTATTTGAGTTTCAACTTCAGGATCTGGCCTTCTCAAGAGCAGTCGGGGTTGATCTCTTCTAGGACTGACCTACTAAGCTTAGAGAAGCTATTTATCTAAAAATACAAAGATGTTGGGGGGGGGGGAAGAGCTTGCCACGGTCTTCCAAAAATGTGCTAACAGAAATTATGGTTGAGGATGGTTTCCCCCTCCCCTTCTTCCACTCTTCCCGTGGAGTCACCACACAGCAAGCTGTAAGTTCATCAAAGGGCCAAATGAAAGCAGAAGGAGAGATCAAATAAAAGGGTCCTTATTTGTCTCAAATTCCTGTATCAAGATGGCGGGAATTGGCTTTTTTCCCCCTCTTATGTCCTGAGCCTCCTTCAGAGACAAACTGGGTCCGGTGGGAGGCAAATGAAGACAACCGCTCTGTCTTACTACAAAGTGAGCGAGAAGTAATAGGAAATAGAAACACAAATGAAGGACTGAGTTGCGATGCCTCCTGACTTTGTGCGGCTATCGCCCTTGTCAGCCTCTTGCAACAGCCAAAACTACAAGAGGAGAATTTGGACTGCAAGCCACTGATTTTTTTGCTCCTGCTCTTACTAAATAATAAATAATAATCACAGCTGTGTGTGGGGGGGGGAAGGAAGAGTAATTTTCCAAAATGAGATACAGTTCCATTGTGACAATCCATAAGGTTTTCTGATGCGTTGCTTTTAATTGTTGTCTCCTCCTCCTTCTCTTCCTCTTCTTCTTCCTCTTCTCCTCCTCCTTCTCCTCTTTCTCCTTCTCCTTCTCCTCCTCTTCCTCTTCTCCCTCTTCTTCTCCTCCTTCTCCTCCTTCTCCTCCTCTTCTTCTTCTTCTTCTTCTTCTTCCTCTTCTTTTTCTCCTCCTCCTCCTTCTCCTCCTCCTCTTCTTCTCCTTCTTCTCCTCCTCCTTCTCTTCCTCCTCCTCCTCCTTCCTCTTCTCCTCCTTCTCCTCCTCTTCTTCTCCTTCTTCTCCTTCTTCTCCTCCTCCTCTTCTTCTTCTCCTCCTCCTCCTCCTTCTCCTCCTCCTCCTCTTCTTCTCCTTCTTCTCCTCCTCCTTCTCTTCCTCCTCCTCCTCCTCCTCCTTCCTCTTCTCCTCCTTCTTCTCTCTTCTTCCCCTCCCCCTCCCCTCCCCCTCTTCCTCCCTCCTCCTCCTCTTCTTCTTCTTCTCTCCTCCTCCTCCTCCTCCTCTTCTTCTTCTCCTCCTCCTTCTCTTCCTCCTCCTCCTTCCTCTTCTCCTCCTTCTCCTCTTCTTCTCCTTCTTCTCCTCCTCCCCCCTCCTCCTTCTCTTCCTCCTCCTCCTTTATAACAACATTCTGGGATTTGATTTAAGGCATTACAACTAGTCATTTATGACTTTGAAGGAAATTGGGCATTTCTTTATCAGCAATTGCCTCTGAGGATTAAATCAAGATACACTGGACCTTCAGCAACATAGAATATCAAAGTAGAACATCAATAACCAATAACCATGTGATGCCTTAAAAACTAATGAAGGCGTTATGCCTGGGACACAGTTTTGCGATTTGTATACCTTCCTGATATTCAAAAATTCTTTTGCACCTCTCAGATTTGATTGAATAAGGAACTAAAGAGTTAACGGGGCATAGCGAAGAATGTTTGAAAGGACACCATCAAACTTGATGGACTTAAATTCATAGCGTTTATCTTTACATCTTTCTCTGGACCACTAATTGTCATTGTCTGCTTTGTTTTGCTTGTTTTGTTTTGTTTTAATTAAAGCACAATTCTATTATTGTTTAAAAAGGCAACGCAGGTCAAAGGTAAAGGTAAAGTTAGCTTAACCTGGCCTGGCCATCACAGTCAATCGTGGATGCATTGACATATCAAAGCTTGTAAAGATTTTGCGATTGGAATGATAATAGGAATAAGGATAGACTCAACTGTCCTTACCAGATGCCTGAAATATATTTAGCATTTCTTGGCCTTTTACCGTCTTCCTAATCTAATATTTACACCCTGGTGCATATCTCATCTTTGACGGATGCTTATAGGCAGAAAACCGGTGAGATTCCTCATACCCATCATGAAATATTCTAGTGTCAAACCTCTTTTATCAACGTATACTTTCCCCAAGATGGATTTACATAAGTAAAATTGCCTTCTATCAAATCTTCCATCAATGTAAATTTTCTTGAGATGGATTTATAGAGATGAAAACCTTACTTCCAGTGATTTGAACTCTTTCAGCAGTAGCGTATTGAAAACATCTCGCCTTTCGCTTTTCAAGCTGCTGGAACTTGCGCAAGGGAGGAGAAAGTTGGAGAGATGGCAGGGCAACTGTTAGAACATGGAATAATAGAGTTAGAAGGGGCCTTGGAGGTCCTCTAGTCCAACCCCCTGCCCAGGTAGGAGACCTCATACCGTTTCAGATAAATGTTTGTCCAGTCTCTTCGTGAAAACCTCCAGTGATGGAGCACCCACAACTTCTCTTTTTTATAATTATTTTTTATTTTTTATTTTTCCAAACTCTCCCCCATACATATACCGTGATATTTAACAGATGTTAACATACATTCTTTTTACATTCACATATAAGATACTTTTAATAAAATGAACTAAATACATACACCTGACTTTTGGTGTTGCTTGCCCGTTTCCCATTTCACTGTATCTACACTCCTTCTTCTCTACCTTCTTTCTCCCTTTCTTCTCTTCCCTACTTCCCTCTTCTTCCTCTCCTCTTCTCTTTCCTTCACCCTCTCCTCTCCTTTCTCCCCACTTCTCCTCCAACCTTCCTACTTCCTTCTCCCCTCCTTTACTCTTTTCTCTCTCCTCTCCTTTCTTCCCTCTCATCCCTCTTCAGATACAATTCGGGGGTAATGTCCGAGCAACTCCTCTCTCCAAATTTCCCTATCTGTGTTATATACAATAAGATTAATTTTCTCCTACATTAATACTTCTATTTATCTAACCTTCTCGGTATATACTTCTATAAATATTTATACAACCTCCAGTTAATCAATGCTGTGTCGCCTGGGTCCCCCTCCTTATCTGCTCCTTCTTCTTCCATCTAAATTGATGTTAACTATCTTTTAACCGTATTCTCTTTTCAGCCAAT